CTCAATCAACTTACCGGAACCTTTTCAAATCTCAAAAACTATAATAGAAAACTGAAACTAATACATAATATTTGTATTATATTAATTGGGCTCAGAAAGTTTTGTAATATTCTGCTCACTTCAAAAACAACCCCGAATTCCATACTTTTACAAAACTATATGTGTTTGTGTATTATATATATAAAAGTACAACTTTAAGCAAAAAATTGAGATATACGTTAATTAATTTTTAAGTTATTTTAAGTTATTTTTAAGTTATTATTATTATATTTTATGAAGTGTTAGAGAAATTGAGTTTTAGTATAATCCTTTTTGTAATAAAAACTCACTTAGATATTCCCTCTGAAATTTTTTTACTCTTTACTATAATATCTTTGAACAAATAAATTATATGTTATTGCATTTTTAGTAATTTCTTCTGATATCGACATTCTTTTTCATCCGGTTTAAGCCTGCTTACCTCCAAATTTTCTCAACATTATATAGAGCATTTCGAATACTAATAAGAGCCACTGTTTTTAAGCTGTTTTAACCGGCTTAGTAAGTATGTTCATTCGAATTTGCCATTTCCTAGACTCTAACATGAGCTCCGATTTTGTGCTTTTCCTGCAGGTATATAATTATTCAGATAAACAGAATTGACGAATAGGTGATCTACTGAGAATTCATCGGAGCAGCGATCTTAAACCTAACCTAATCTGTTAACTGGAAAAAATTTTAAATACAACAATAAGATAATAATAGAGTTTTTTAGGAAAAAAATATTAAAATATTTTTTTAAAATATTTTGTTGAGTTGAGTCTGTTAAGTTGATCTTTAACCTAACCAAACCCCTTAACTTGTCAAAACTAAAAACTAACTATGATGAATCAAAAATGTTGTTGCAATTCACTACTGTTCAAAAAATCTCTCTATTAAAAACTATAGTTTATATTAAGAGAATAGTTTCTTTCGTCATAACTGTTGCTAAAAATCGATTGAAAATGGACAAGATATTAGAAAGGTTGATGAAGCATATATATCGCTAGATTTATATATTATTATTGAAAGCTATTACATGAATATAACTAATATTGAAATTCAAAAGATAGTTTTGAAACACTTTACTTCTCAAATAATGGTACGCCTTTCCTTGACAATACTAGTTTCACATCGTATTAGACGAATGTTGGTTTTGCAATGTCATTTGCAATGTAGTTAATAGTTAATAACTATTGTTGACTTTTGCTGAGAAGCACCCTGTATAAAAACCAAATATGCATATAATGAAAAGTAACACCTGCCCGAAAGTAATTTGTACACATAAATCATGAAATAAGCAAAACTACACAAATAAATTCTAATGGCAAGTCAGCTTTGTATCAGTACAAAAGCTGTGATATATCTCAATGTGATTTCTCGGTTATTGTAGATATTGGTGTGGTATTGTTATGTGCGATAACTGCAAAACAAAGCAAATCATTTCAATTTACAAAACATACAAAAATAATCTCGTATTTAAGTTTTGTGAATTGAACAATTTAAGTGAAAATACACAAACAGGACTTTCATCCTGCAAGGCAAATTAGTCTGTTAATAAAACCAAATAAATATTTTACAAAGCAATTTACAATATTTACATATGAATTTTTAAGCATTTAATCAAAACTTTTTTATGTAAATATTATTTATTAATTTTTTTTTGTTTTTCTCTTTACAGGTAAGTGGAGAGCAAAAAGTATTGTAAGCTTAAAAGGCACATGGAAGGTAGTGTGTGAAAAAACGTGAGCTGAAAAAATTCTGTTAATTGAACTAACAGATTTCGTAAAAAATTTAATTTTTTATAAAAAGTTTTAAAATAATTATTTTGTTAAAATTTAAAAAGACAGCCAATTATTGCAAAAAAAATTTTTTTTTTTTTTGTGGTTTGGTAGATTATAAAATGCTGCTTTTAAATTTAAAAGAAATGTGTGAAAAGTGAAATTGTTAAAGAGGGGTGTAGGATTTTCTGTACCTTAAATACAAGTGGTTATGGCTTAATGTTCAGTTCGGTAAAGGTGATTGCACACAGCATCACATAATTATCGGATAATGGATATACATAACATTCCCCATGGATACATTAATATTTGTTGTGTGGTTACTTATCTTATCTTACTCTAGTGATTTTTATTAGCAGTTAGTTTGCTCCTTAATGTTATGTTTTTCTAAAGAGAACTTTAGCCATGACATGATTACTACTTATAAGGGATATATGTAAGCCAATATGCAATAATATCAAATCAAAAATGGCGTTATTGGAATATCAAATATAGTCATTCTTATTTGTTAGTGTTTATGATAAAATTGTGGAGCTGTTCGCTTGAAAGGATGTCCGATGTAACGATAGGTCTAAACAATTAGTCATCAATTGCTTAGACTGACTTTTCTAAATAATGAATGTACCAATCTTTTCTTTATATACATTTATTTTTCAAAGTTGCACTTACTGAAACACATCAACTCCAACTCATTTTACTAGCACGAGTATGAGTCCGACATATGCCGAATAGATAAAAACGGCAGACGAAATCTCTATCTAAAAATTCATATATTTCAGCTTAACAAGTCCACAAAATTTTGGTATTTTCTGAACTGTACGATATAATGTATATAAATGCTCATATTACTTTCATGAATAAATTTTACTTAACAATCTTAACTCCTTAAAAACAAAACCTTTCAATAAAATAAAAGAACGATTCGATCGTCCTTCTACTTTATCTATGTACCTATGATAAAATGTCAGTCGTAAGTTCAGTCCGAGTGCACTAAAACCCTAGAAGGTTAACTTAAACAGTCCTTTTCAGAGACAGTGAAACTCTTCTGTTCACAACAACAATAACAATATATTAGATACTTTACTATGTACTACGTCATATGTTCGACATTTAGTGTACAAATATTAGCCCAGATTTTGTTGGTCCGTTGGAAAAAATGACATATCAACTTTTGTGTATGACTGGCAGGAACAGGGATTAAAATGAAAAATTCTATAGAAGTGATGTCTCGCTAGCTCATCTCTTCGCTTATTTGCTGCTATTTTTTAACCCAAGTAACAGTTACTTTAAGGCTTCTTGAACGCTTTATTGTAGATATTGCTTAATTTAGAGGCATGAACCCTGTCTGTTAGGTTTCGACCTGTATGATTCTTCGTTGATATGTGTACACTCATTCTCTTGTGCTCTATATGAACATGCGAATAGAGTGAAAAATCTGCACACTTAGTTTTCGATATAATCCTCGAAGACAGTTTGTACTTCTTGTACTTGATATAAAGTATTAATTAGTGTTTGTTTATATATAATTTCTAGGGCCGGAATTAATAAATAAAATCTGAATTTTTATAGCAACAAACCAACACGCTACTTCAGTTAATAAAAAAAACATTAATTATAAAAATATATTGAACAATTTTATTGCTTTACGATTTTTTTAAGACAATCAAACTCTATAATATAAATATTTAATAATTCTCTGAAACTCATTCAAAACTATTATTGGAACACAAAATGTTAGTACTTGAAACATTTTGTATAGAAACACAGCAACATAATTAACAATTAATATATACGCCAGTGTCCCTACGATATAGGTCAATATGCATAACAAAAGATTTATTGTAAGAAGCACGACCGTTTCGGGGTATATATACTAAATTGTAAAAGAAAACAATATCATTAGTAAATAAGAACAAATATTTACAAATATTAAATATTAACCTTCGATTTACATCTGCGCTGATCTTGAGTAATTACTCCATAATCATTCCCTGTAGATATAATTCTAGTTGATTTATATTCTAATGCAATGTCATCTTTCAATTTAGAATTATTATAGGACGTATAAATTGGAGTCTGTAATTGAGAGAATAAAAGATATAACTACTTCTCTTTTTATTGATTTGGTAACCTTTATGATTACCTTTTTCATGTCCTTGGTTTCAGGCATACACTTTCTAAGTTCAGATTTATGGCCAAAATCACAATTGCATTTAAGTTTTGTTGCATTTTCTTGACCTTCTGTCTTTAGATCATTATTACTTTCTATTTGGTGTTCAAATATAGACTCAAAGCTATACTAAAATATTAAATTCTCATTGATACTATCTGTATTTATATATCAAATATAATTGCTTACATCAAATTTTTTAGTGTTCTTAATTGCTTTGTTATTCCGATAAAGTTGAGAAAGTTCTTTAGATGAGAATTCATTTGCGTTTACTTTTGGAAATTTTTCATTCGTAAACCGAAATTGTGAAAAAGCCGATTTTATAGAATCAGAATCCTGCAAATATAGTTGATGTATTAGAAGATAATATTGTAAAGCTCTGTTTACTTAGTTTGATAGCGTTTCTTTACTAGTTTTAAAATTTTGATCAAATATATAACTATATAATGGAATAATCTTTCTATTGAAAAAAGATATAGTAGTAGATTATTGGATTAAAATATAAAATCTCTAATGTTCTTATAAAATCGTTTTTTTAAGGCATTCATTGTATTATAAATTTAAGAAGATCAAAGAAATGTATTGATATTTGTAAGCCAGTTCGAATTCACTAACGTCTGTTATACTGGATTCACACAAGAGTTTTGTAATTTTAGCTGTCAAAAATTTTCATTTTCTAATGGAAGCAACAATTGACAGATACAATAACAAACAGAACTCTCGTATGAATCCAGTACTAGAGAGATGTCGAAGTAAAACAAATCCATATTTTCAGTTATATGCATACCTATTAAAATCAAATCCCGAAGATGTATAATAAAACACGCAATGAATACCTTCCGATGGGTAAAGTACACACTACTGTGCAAAAAAATGGTAAATGAAAAATGCGGAAAGAAGTAGAATGGCATGAAACAACAATCTGAAATTTTGTAAGGTCCTAGTACAATACAATCAGTCGACTAAATTCATTATCTGAAAAGAACTCAGAAATGGATCTATAGTGACATCAATTGAGGAATGTAAAAATAGTTTTTTTTCAAAACTCTACTAATTAAAAGCGATTTTAGTACCTTCAAAATGAAATTGAAAATATTTCAATTTATGTTCTAGTTCGGCTAACATACCACAGTTTTAGTGAAGCTAATATTATACTAAATCACTTGAATTTCGTATACTAATGCTTAGAAAGGAACTATCCAATTTATTATTCAGAGACTGGCATTCCTGTTATTTTATTATTATAAGAATCAAATAAGTTACTTACTATACTAAAATCATAATCGGATCCATCTTTTTCAATATATTTTCTATTAAAGTCAACAGTTTTTTTCATTTCTTCTATATAAACCATATTCATTTAAAAAAAATATTAGTTTTCACTTATAAAATAAATCGCACATAGTATTTAGAAGATTTATTTTTCTAAACAATCGAAAATCTTACTAAAATTTGAATGGTATAAATATTGAAATTTGAAAAAATTATATATATAACTATAGTTACTTGATATTTGTTTCAAATATAGTTTTTACTATATTGAATCTAAAAAAATTTACTTGTTTTTATGATACGTTTACACTTAGAGATTTCGAACCTCTTTAGCATATTTTGTATGGATTTTATATGCATTTGGATGGATTTTATATGGGAAATGACACATATTGCTGCATATTTATCCAGTGATATACATTTATTTAAAGATACCATTATGTTTATAAGGTTAATATTCATGGGTTGCTCTTACAGCTTTAATTAATGTTGATTCTTGTGTGAACTAAAATGCTGTGACCTTTTAGGTGATGCGTAGAATCCAAGTAGAAACGAAATTATCTTAGAAATTTAATATAATTGATTAAATTTTTTTTTTTATTTTAACAAAGAGCAAAGTTTGCATCAACAACTGTTCACATAGACTAACAAGAGGTTTTTTAATAATTGATTTAATCAAATAAAATTTTTTTTTCAAATTTCAAAAAATGAACTAAATTTTTGTTCTTGTCTTTTCTTTGCTATTCGAATCCGTCTAACTTTTAAAAATATTTTTTTTAAAAATATATATATTCGCAGATTAATAATATATTCATAATAATAGTAGTTAATAATAACAGTTTTGTATAAGTGTTAGTTTAGTAAATCCTTTTTCCTAGTTTGTTCTGGAACTTATCCCATAACATTTGTTTCTTGTACGCAGTGATTAATATATATATAAAAAAATTACTTGAGCCCTTCTGTTTCAATATTTGTTTGTTCATACCAACGTTTACATACCAGAGTACATAACTTTTAAAACAACTTAACTACTTTGTTCTAACTGAATTTAAGCTTTGAAATTTCGCAACAATTGTGTCCAGTCTTTGGCACAACTGTTGTTAACCTCACTTTATTTTCCTGAAATATAAATATCCTTAACAACTTTATGCCATGAGTTATTGTTTCGTTACTTTCTCCCCTCCGGTTTTATGCTACTTTCTAACTTTCTGCGCTTCATTTTCTTGTTTGCTGAATCAGTAATATGCCTTTCACCATTTTTGATACACTGCAAATAGAGTTGTTGGCTCTATAACACCCACTGGAAAGCATTTCAAGACTTGGGTCGTTAGTAGAATTTTTCCTGTTTTTCCTGTGTGTAACTCATGTTGAAAAGAAAAACATAACAAAAAAAGAATAAAAATAATTTGCTACCTATTCTTTTAAGTGATATTTTTATTTATTTTTCTTTTCCTACTTTATTCTATTTGCACTATTAAAATGGAGTAGCCTAATGAAAGGAAACAAAATATGTTTAGTGTTTTTTGTTCCATTATTAAAAGCCTTAAATTTTACGGCAATTGTTTTTCTTTTTTAAGTAGATGCCCTTTTATTTTTATTACTATGAATTTAACACTCCACAAAGGTTTCCTGTTTTAGGGCTTCTTACATTATATATAAAAAAAATAAGGGAGACATTTAAAAAAAAATAGCTGCAAATTTGCAAAGGTCATTCGCTTTTCTAAGTTTTGTGTTTTGACACGATTAACTTATATTTACTCTAGGCCTTTTGAGTTGAAAAATATTTTTGTCCTTTATGGACTCAGTAAACCAGAACTTAGTTAGGATACTTGTTAACTTATGAAAACATAAAATAGAGAACTGTATTTTACAGCGATTAATTTAAAATAATGGTACAACATTTAGTAAAAAA